AAAGTTATCGTGTTAACAAATTTTTGCGTACAGGGTACAGCGTACAGGGTACAGGGTACGCACATACATTCGGACATCGAAAAAACGCTAGATTCGTGTTCCCTGGCCCCAAAAACACCCGGAAAACACATTTTTTATGGGTGTTAATTTTTCGACCGATTCCAATACTTTACCTTACACACTAGGTGTGTGCGGAAAAGTAATAAAGAGTCTTACGGGAGTAAGACGAACTTTTCCGCACGGTGGTAGTTGCGTATTTTATTAAGAAAGTTCAAAATAATATTTGCTCGATTCTTCAAGTCTTTCAAACAGCGTAAAGTTCGAGACCAAAAAATATTTTTCAACTTTGGCAACGAAATATTCTTTAATTTAATAGCAGAAGTACCCGAGAAAAGATTTTTCACACTTTCATGATAAACCCATTTGTACGACATTTGAAAGTATTCTATTTTCTAACAAAATACTATAAAAATATGTCTGACGTTAATTTTGCCATAAAGATTATTTTTGAAACACTTTTCATAACTAAAGTCACAACAAATTTGGATTTTTGTATGGGAGCCATGTCTCTATGCTACCTTAATGGCGTGAAACTTTGCACAGGTTATTTTTTTCACAAATAACATTCGGAGGGTTTGGAGAAATTTCAACCAAAATCAAGAGTACCTCCCATACAAAATATTCGTTTTTGAGCCAATTGAAAATTTTGTATGGGAGGTACCCCTAATTTTAATTGAAATCTCTTCAAATTTTCAGAATGTTATACTTTTGTGTAAAAAATAGTCTGTGCAAAGTTTCACGTCATTAAGGTAGCATACAGGCATGGCTCCCATACAAAAATGCAATTTTTTGGTGATTTTTTTAAGGAAACTGTATCAAAAAGTGATTGTATCTCAAAATTAACCTCGGATTCGGTTTTCTCGTGCCAAAAAACCCCCCAATACATATTTTTGAGTGTTTAAGTCTACATTAAGTATGACTTTTGGACGAAAATTGGACTCTTTTTCATAGGTATCACTCCAGGCATGACAATTTTTTCCATCGACCAAAATCGCTCAAAATCTAATGATTTCTATTCCTCGGGACCCCCAATCATCCTGTACAGTCAGATTTTAAATAACTTTTCTGGGGGGTGAGATAATCGATGGACAAATTTTGCGTACGGCGGACAACGTACGACGTACGACGTACGACGTACGACGTACGACGTACGACGTGGAAGCGACCCACAACAACAATGCTCAAAACGGCCTGATTCGGGTTCTCTGACCTCAGAAACGTACAGAAAACATGTTTTTGAGGTTTCGTAAATTTTGACCCATTGCAATACTTTCCCCTTTCACACTAGGTGTGTGCGGAAAAGTAATTATATTGAGTTTTCCAAAAAAAAGATACCATAAAAGTGCGAGAACAAAAAATAACAAAGGAAAAATGGAAAAACTCTTGGCATTGCGCAGGGAGCGGCAGTTGCATCCGTATTTCTCGACCGTGTATCATTCATACACGCAAAAATATTTGAAATGTCTCGCATGGTATGTTTAGTGGATTGTCAAAAGAAGAAAAAATCGTCGTTGATTTGTCCAAGGGCGGAAAAATTGCCACCGATCCGAGTCCAAAGACTCCATCCAATGAAGTGGAGCAACACATCGGTGGTGAAATCGATTCCGTTGAGAATTCGAATAATTTTCCGTTTGATGTGCAGCAAGAAATTGAAATTGCACGTACAGGCCCAGTTGAAGGTCAAAAATCATCAATGGAAACAACAATTGAATCGGTAATTAATGACGCAATAAACCGTAATTCGCCGAATATTTCAAACAATGATCCGACTGCCGAAGCGTTAGTCGTTTTGGCAAATGAAAGTTCGGTTATTGCAACTCCCACAATTGTTCAAGATAATAATCCGATTATTTACTTCGGAATTATGCCAAATTCAAATACATTTGTACCGCAAGACAACAGTTTGTTTGGTGACTATGGGCAAAATGTCCAAAATGAAAATGATTTGCATGAAAATACGTTTGTTGGCCCTTTTGACCATTCGTATGGACAATATGAAAATTCATCGTCTCAATTTCATGGAAACTTTGAACCATCGTCCGAATTTCAAGGTAATTCCGATTTGTTTATGCCGCAAGTAAACTCAGCCATAGACTAGTGGTTAGCGTGGCAGGTTTGTGAGCGTGAGGACACGAGTTCGATTCTCGGTCAAATTTGGTCCGGTATTTTTCCACCGTGATTCGCTCAGGAATTATCAGTGGTTTTATGCGGAATAGATTTGGCCGGGTTTCGGGCTAGTGGAGTGCTTCGGAGGGCACTTAAAGCCGTCGGTCCCGTGTGTGTGCACAAAGAATAATGGGTTCAGCATAGACACACGTAAAATGGAGTGCCTTTACGTTAGGTTGGTGTCTTGGATATGTCAAATATCCAATACGTCAACCGTAAAAAGGTAGTGCGACATCTCTGGTGAATATACCGGTAAACCATATGTGCATTCCTCCATTGAAATAAGAAGAGCCCAACGCCATCTAGGAATGAATGGAATACTTGTGACTGTCACGACAATTGACTTGAGAAGAAAGCCCTGGTCACTGGCCCTGTACGGAGGCTAGTTACATGGCTGCTATAAAGTGGGCCACACCGTGGGAAGCATTCTCCAAGCAATCGAGTGACAGCACAAGTCGGGTCGTCATGCAATAAGTTACGAAACTTGAGCATCGAAGTGAATAACTCCCCGTTTAATCCAATAATCCAATAATCTTTATAAAATGTTAATTCATTATTTGTGCATTACATAGAAATGATAAATGTCCGAGCTGTAACACCAGAATGATTAATCGTGCACTTCGACCAGTTCATGGTACACAAGGTGTCGTGATGCCCAGTGTGGTTAACAATGTGACAGAAAATGAAGCTGATATTATTGAAGGTTAGAATTCAGTTATTAAAATGTTGAAAGGCTCCCAATGTAATGATTAACTAATCCCCAAAAAATTACAGTTCAAGAAAATATGGATGTTGTTGTTGACAATGATTTACCGAACAGTTCAACCACTGAACAGTTCAACCACAATGTGGACCCAGTTTCGTTTGATGAAGGGCAGGAAAGTTCTTCGACAACGATTGTGTCCGGCAATACTGTCGCCGAAGACATTCTCGCTTCGCCGAACAATTCAAATATTTTTGAAACAGGTAACATAACACAAAAATTGTTTGGAATTATTAAAATGTATAATGCTTTCCAATGTATGTCGCTAAAAAATTGCAGTACAACAACAAGAAGAAACGGTCGCTGCTGACAAAGATTTGCTTTTGGTCGATACATCGAATACTTCAAACATTGTTGAAACTGGTATGGATACAATTTCAATCGAAGACGGCCAGAAAAATACTTTGGCAACGATTGTATCCGAAAATGCGAAAGATATGCTCGCTTCGCCGAACAATTTGAACAATTTTGAAACAGGTAACACAAAAATTGTTTGCTAATTATTAACAATTTTAATGTCTTCCAATTGGGTGTCGCCAAAAATTACAGTACAACAACAAGAAGAAACTGTTGCTGCTGACAAAGATTTGCCATTGGTCGATACATCGAATACTTCAAATTTTGTTGCAATTGGTATGGACACAATTCCAATCGATGACGGCCTACAAAATGATTTGGTTGATCCTGTTGCCGAAAACATGCAGGTTTCGCCAAATACTTCAACAGTTTTTGAAACAGGTAATGAAACAAAGGGAACCATAAATACCAAAATAGTCTTGTGTTCAATTTTCCAGTTTTCCAATCAGTTTTCTCTATACGAATATTTGACCAACGGGCATTGTGTTCGCACAGTTAACATAATTGGGACCTTTTGGTCAGATTTTTTTGTAAATTTGTTTGAAATTGCTAATAAGACTTTCTAAGGTCATTCAAGAGTAACTAACTTCTAATACTAATTCTACATCATCGCGCATATAAAATAAAATCAAACAAATCCAATATGGTCGTTTGTTAATCAATAAATTTCCACACGGTAGAATAGCTCGTACTCTAAACAAAATGTTGACATCTAAAATAAATAATATTATTTTTCACAGACAAAGACATTTCTGGACAAGAAGACTTTGACAACGAACAAAATATTGGTCGCTGTGAACCAGTGTCTGAGGCAATTTTATCCCAGAATGGCCGTCAAAATGATTGTTTCAAACCAATTGCTGTTGAACAAAGTAAGAATCTTTCCGTTTATTTGTGATTATTATATATAACATTTATTAACATTTTGGTATTCCTAGGCAAACCAAATCGCATTCATTTGGCTATGACACCATCCCATAATGGCCGTCGTTTCAAATCGCTTGCAGCTGTTCAACAAAGTGAGAATCTTTGCATTATTTTTGTGATTACTGTTCAACAGTTTATATAAACATTTTGATATTCACAGACAAACCAAATTACGATCAACAAAAACACATTCATTTGGCTATGGCACCATCCACTAGTCGTCAAGACTTATCACGTCGCTCAAAACGCATTTCTGTTCCTCTGGATCTCTATAATTATGGAAAAGTAGTGTGCAGTGTTTGTTTTAACAAAATACTTAGCACAGCAAAATTGATGGCTAACTTTTTATTTTTCGTTCTTTCGTAATTACTTCTTTATACGTTGAGTAAACCGACGCATATTGTCACTGTCTTGCCATTAAGGACACACAAGCCAATCGATTTCATATTTAATATATTGTCACTGTCTTGCTTCTAAGGACATACAAGTTAAATTACATCAAATTATAACATCACATTGTCACTGATCCGTTAAAGGACATACAAGCCAAAGATTTGAAGTTTGAACATTTCGTCACTGTACTGCCATTAAGAACATACAAATAATTATTAACACATTTCGTCACTGTCTTGACATTAAAGACATACGAAGTTGATACATTAAATTCAAACCAAGAATCAAACAAACCAGAAGGACCACACTGAAATCCAAATAATTATAAGAAAATTCATAATTGTAAAACACGATTGAAACTCCAAAATAAAATAAATTTGTTTGTACTGAATAAAATCCTCTTTAAATCTCGGACATCGTACACCATATAGTCATCATGATAGCCAATATTCATTTTAAAATAGTTGATGATGATTTTCTTTCTTTCTTCTTTGTACTCTTCAGTCACAATCGGCGAGTTTAAGTTGTGTACGAGCATTTTAATGCGATTTTCTTCCCAAATCTTCCATAAGTATCTTGGTATGTAAAATAGCCTTGCTTGGAAGAATAGGACGAAGCAAACCCATTGATAATATTTGTGGACTTTTATTTTGCCGTCACCATCTTGACTTCCAACGCCTGGTTGAATAATATCGCGTCCAATTACACCATCCAATCGTTTGGGCACCGTATATGTACTGTAAATCCAACAGTAGGTATCCATTACACGCGATGGAATATCTTCAGCGATGCAATCAATTGGATCTCCTATGTATTGATTCGATGTCACAAACAATGAGCACACAATCAAAATGATCACACTTGCTTTGTAGTGCAAGCGAAAAATGCTATGGTCAATGCTGATCAGTGACCGGTTCGCGCATCTTTCTATGCTTGCCTAAATACGCTAGGTAGCATAGATATGCCAAGCATAGCCGCAAAGGCCACTGACGCATCGCCGTTCACTCTATATGAACAATGAACATGTTCGTTTATGCAGACGACCGTGCGCATACAATATAGCTCGAATCGAATGGCGACGGGTGCGTTGCGGCTTGCGTCTCCGCTGTGCTTAGCATAGCTATCAGGCATAGAAATATGCGCGAACCGGTCACTGATGCTGATGCAATCGAACTTTATCAGCTCTTTGACCGAATTGAATATTTCCAACATATTGATTCGATGAATGTTTTAATTCCTGGTGATCAAACTGAAATGAATGTTTCTCACATGAATACAGCTATATTTAAAACACACTAGATGATATTGCTGACTTTTATTTTTCCATTGCTTTTTATAATGTTGTGTTTTGTAACTGTCATCATTTCGCGAGGAATTTAGTTGAGAATGGTATTTAATGTAATGTTGATTCAAATTATATACGTTATAGAACTCAAAATTACACGACCTACATTGGAATGTTACTAATTGTTTCATCTTTTCTTTTTTCTCTGCCATTTTTTTCTTGCTTAGATTTTCTGTTCGTATTGTTCGCTTGAATGTTCATTTTCAACTGACTTACCTAAATGGAATTTAGAAAATTCAAACAAATTCTTTTCGTTTAAGAAAAATATGTATGCGATATTTTTTTTGCTGGGGTTTCATTTCTCTTTACAATATAAAAAGCCCGTTACTATATGATCGACAATCATCACGTTTTTTGCTTTCATCGCGTACTATTCAAAGTTCCTTGAAGCAAAGCTAGATCGAATAATACTCTGATTTTTTTCTCAGTTTTGTTTTGTTTTTGTGTTGTGAAAGTAAAAAAATTTCAAACAAGATGTCCACCGCAAAATTCTTGAATAAAATCAACAAAGACACATCATCAGGCTACATACGGTATGATTCATTGGAAGTACGAAAACCGTATAAGATTCGTAACTTTTCCACATACGAAAGCACCGCCTTCGACGACAAAAGAACTTGTGTTTGCGTTCACATCGATGGTGGATATCTCATTCTTCCCAAGCGATATGATCACTGCTTTAAACAATTGAAATCCATGAACACAGACAATCTGTATATCATTTACAATGGACGCATAGGTCAACGACTCGACATTGATTTTGTAGAACATGATGGAGCTTTGGATGATGATTACGAAGATGAAGAACAAGATGACAGCGGTGGTGATGACGAAGATAACACCCCCAATAAGAACAAGACCAAGCGCAAGAGCAACACAAAGAACAATACCAAAAATAAGACCAAAAGACAACGCACTAAATAGATGAGAATTACAAAGATGGTGTATATGGGAAAAGTATGATAACATACGCCCACAAGAAGAACAAGACGAATTAATGTAAAAATATACACTAGATTTTAAGCATTTCTTTCCTGAAAAAAAAGAGGTTTTTTTGTCATGTTTATTTCAATTTCGAGAATTTAAATTAAAGATATCAGTATTTTGATTTGATCAAACTTTGCTTTTTAATTTCAACTTTATTTGTGTGTAATTCACTCATTTGTTCTTTTACAAAGCGGCTTCAATGCGTATTTTATAGATGAAACAATTTTCTTATGATAGAAATCGAAAAAAATCTACATTTTGAAATATTAACTTCTGCCGGGACAAGTTTGCATCGATAGCTTGAAACTAATTGTTGATAGAATAGAACATTTTCACTCTAAACTATCTAAATATTAATTTTTTTTTGTTTATTTATCATATTCATCGCTTGAAATGCAAAATTGAATGAAACAAAATAAAAATGATACGTTTTAATAGCGTTGAAGTTTAAGAATTTTTCCATTGTCATCGTGTAGTCGAGCGAACAATCCTTCAATACAATCGATTTCATATTTATCATATCGTCTTTTTTCATCTTCAATGAACTTTTTGAGCTCTGATGCATGTTTACTTTCGCGTTCGGTCACTGGAACATCCGAATACATCAAATCTATCAATGTCGGTGGATTTAAAATGTTGAACATTGTTTCGTGCCATTTTGTAAAAGATACAAAATCATATTCGCCGGGATCGATGAATTTTGTCACGAGTACATCACACCATTCAGTTTCCATTAATGTTATTTCGAATGTTTCAATCAAAAGAATGCAAGCGTAGTCCATTATTTGCGGTGTCCATGGTGTGAATTCGCAAGTATAGCAATTTGAAGAAGCCGTGTCTTTGAAAATTTCAACCAGCTTTGGAATGGAAATTAACGGTCCCACCAAGCGATCAGTGCGAACATCTTCGAGAAAGTCGAGAAATTTTTTGTTGAATCGTTTGCTTTTTAATATGATTTTTTCTTCTTCACTTAATCCATGCGCGATAATAACGGCATCGTCGTCTTTATCTGGATATGGAAAATCCCGATATGCATCCGCATTGCGAATCTTTTCTTTCCAGGTATTGCAATCAATCACAATGCTCCGATTATAAATTTCTTGGTCATTTGCTTTCGATTCAATTCGATAAATGAGCGCAGGAATTGAATCGTCGCGGATGACAGTAAATTTGAGTGATTCCACCAGAAAACTAATTACTAGGTCGCATGTGAATCTTTCGGTCCACCCATCATCTAAATTAGTCACGTATTGCATGATGATTTCACAAAATTCTTCAATTCTCACAGTGGAATAATCAACGGTGATTTGGCAACGATATACTGTCACCTCTACTATTTTCGCTTTTCATCAACGATTTGCCTAATGAATTAGAATGCAATGTCTTGCTGTTCGCGGATGATTGTAAAATTTACAATTTAATTGGCGACATCAACGATTGTCGTAAGCTCCAAAATGATCTTTCCAAACTTTCTAATTGGTGCGATAAAAACAAATTGGAACTCAACACTGATAAGTGTGCAGTAGTTTCGTTCACAAGGCGATCTGAAAGAAATTTTCAACATTATGCCTACAAAATCAATAATTCAACCGTGAAAAGAACAGATATTATAAAAGATCTCGGAGTTATTTTTGATCACAAGCTATCATTCCAGAACCATGTCAGAACTATAATATCAAAAGCTTCAAGAACCTTGGGATTCATTTGTAGATCATTAAAACCATTTAGTAACATCAATACACACAAAATGCTATATTTCACATATGTGAGGAATATTCTTGAATACGGTTCAGTAGTTTGGAATCCATATTATCATATCTATACACACATAATTGAAAATATACAGAGGAAATTCACTCGTATTTTATGCTATAAATTTAATATTCCTCGGGGGACATACGAGTCTAGGTTGGAACATCTTGATATGAAATCATTATTCACAAGAAGGTTGTATTTTGATGAACTATTTCTATATAAAATAATGTCGAGGAAATTCAATACAAGTTTGACTCAATCATTCAACATAAATGTTCCTGCTAGAGTAACCAGATTCACACCTATTTTCTATGTACCGGCAGTTACAACGAATATTGAGTATTTCTCCCTCGCTCTAAGATTAAAAAGACAGCATAATGATCATTTTTCTGACATTGACCTACTGGAGAATTCGTTGACTCGTTCTAAACATGCTATCAATTCATCATTACCAAATGAACTATGGCCTAATTTCAGATAGGTTATGACTTCCTAATGCAACTTAATTGCATTTCCTCATTTATATACTATATTTCTTTTTTCTTATATCATTATCAACTTAAAACAGTTTACTCTCATATTATTCTACCATTCTTTCACCATTATTATTATAAATCAATTATTTATTAATATTAAAAACCCAAAATTATTATCTCGTGATTATGATCTGTAAGAGGGCTTTGGGCCTGTTGATTGTAGTCATATACCATACATTTCCAAATAAAAAGAAAATAAAAATAAAATAAAATAAAAAAAGATATATTTTCAAGCCACCCACAATCATCTGCAACATTTTGAAGCGCATAAATTGATATTTATTGTAGTTATGTAGGCGTTCACTTGAAGTAATGTATGCATAAACTTCTTCGTTAATACATTCAATCCATTTGTCAATGCTCATCATGCAGTGATTTCCAAGAGCTTTTTGTTTGAATGCTTCACGTTTTAATTTTTGACAAAATGATGTCAACAAAACCGTATTCATTGCATTCATTTTTTTCTTCTTCACTATCAATAGATTAGACGTCTTTCAAAAAAAATCAAATTTCACTGATTGAAAAAATGAAAATGGATTGAGTGGGTTGTCACAAAAAATATTAAATATTTTTTCTACTTTAATTAGCTTGAAATCGATCGATCGATTGAACGTCCGAGAAGATTGCTGATCGACTGAACTGATTCTGTCACAAAACAAAACAAAAACGCTAGATTTTTTTTCTCTCAGTATTTTCATATACGGAGAAATATTTTATTGCCTTTTTTTTTAATGTTTACATAAAACGACTAAACTAAACATCTCATTCAATTAAACGATCATACTGCTTACATAACTCGGTTTACAATATTAGAATACGGATTGTAACTTATAATATTATCGTGTACGATTAAACAATACGCAATTCTATATAAAAATGATTTTTTTGTTTTTATTAGCAAAAAATCATTTTATATAGAATTGATACGGATATCAATTGCTATTTGGCCATATTTACTTCGATTTACTTTGAAAAGCAATATTTTCCATTAGTAAATATGACCAAATAGTGGTTAATATCCGTATAAATAAAACAGAACAATCACTTTTATATAGAATTGATAGGTTATCAACCGATATTTGGTCATATTTACTAATAGAAATATTGCTTTCAAAGTAAATATGGCCAAATAGCAAATGATATCCGTATCAATTCTATATAAAAATGATTTTTTTGCTAATAAAAACAAACAATCATTTTTATATCACAGCGGACGGCAGTTCGCGCGAGTGACGAAACCACATTAGTGTGTTGAAAAGTCGAACTCGCTATATATACACTAGGGTGTAGCATTTTTCAAACATTTTAACGGCGAGGGTAATAACCTTGGCTATGGGATCCCCTGATCACGAATCAGGCGTTTTTTTGCAAGAAAAATATAAACTGAGATGTCACGGGTCAACGGCGAAGTATCAAAAATGGGAAAAATTTGGATTTTTTTGAATTTTTTTAAATTTTTGTGTAAGGCATCAAAATACACTATACTTTCAGTATTGCTTACTTATATGCTTAAATCATCAGAACAGGTCCCAAATAACACATTCTAGTAGAAAAATTCATTTAAATTCAAAAATGGATACCTTCACCAT